CCCCCCCCCCCCCCAGCTCCTTACAGCCCCTGGGAAATTCAGGAGGGGGTTTTGTTCTTCATGTTCCATCTGGAAAAGGCTGTGGGATGCTGAGCATGCAATGCAGTTAGTGTAAATCCAAGAGAAGGGCAGGGGGTGCTTCCCCCATCACGCTGTCCCTGTCACGATGTGCAGACTCCCAGAGCTGGTCATGTCCCCTGCATCGGGGAGACCCCAAGTATTTGCTCTGCTGAGGATCAGCATATCAGCCTGCAAACTCAGGGAAAAATCACCCCTATAGCCTCCTGCTCGGCATGGTGCCCATGTCATGTGTAAGCCCATCCAGTCCTCACCTGTACCCAAACGCCCCGTCGTACACTGAGTCATTCAGGTAGATGACGGTGCCCCCGGGAAGGATGAGCTGCTGCCCAGCTGGCGCGTTGTAGGACACCAGCCCATCTGTGGGGAGGGGAGGGTGAGTGGCTGCCCACACCGGACACCCTGTTGCTGGTGAGCCCCAGCCAGCCCCAGGGTGCTGCCAGCCCCAGGCAGGACAGACAATCCCCAGTGGGATGCACAGCCCCCCGACCAGGCTCTGGGGACACAGGGAAGGCGACAGGACCACACCACCCACCCAGCCAGACACAGCCGTACAGCTCCACACGCAGGCAGACGTTCATGGAGTGGTCAGTGACAGGGATGAAGCGGACGAAGCGGGCGATGAGGGGTGGCTCCAGGTCCTTCAGGATGATGTCGTAGGGGTTGGTGTTTCCATCCAGCACCTGGGAGAGAGAAGCACGGTGGGGGTGGGCAGGCACAGCCCCCCATCTGCCACCCAGTGCAGCCCCTGCCCACCTCCTCACCTGCTTCCCATGCCGGTTCCTCCAGGAGATCCAGCGGGTGCCATCCCGGCTGTAGTTGATCTTATACATGGGGGCAAACTCGTTGCCATGGCCACCGGCGTGGCGCCCCTGGGTGCCCACCAGCGTGATGAAGTGGAGTGCACGCAGGTCGATCTGCAGGAACTCCTTCAGGTCATCAGGCTCCACCGGGATCTCGGGGCACCAGGCACCATCACCGTCCTCTGAGTCCAGCCTGCAAACCCAGAGCAGAGAAGTCATTTGCAGGCAGCCAGAGCTGGCCCTGTGCCTCTCTTCTGCTCCTCTGTGGCAGCCCAGACCCTGCCATGGCTGTGGCCAGAGGGTCTCCGCACTCACCGTCCGTACTTGGCGGCTGTGGACTCAGACCACTGGCTGGAGGCCGAGATGTCCTCATCAGGGATGTGCCCACCTGACATTCCCAGGGGGTACCGGCACACTGCTGCAACGAGACCATCAGGGTGCTGAGTAAGCATCCTTCCTTGCCTCCCTGGCTGAGGAGCATGCTGAAATACAGTATGGCACTGCCAGGGCTGGGGCACATCCACAACACAGCAGTCACTGCAGCCTGGGCAGCTCAGGCGCAGAACTCTCCATCCCTCTGGCTTACAGGGGGGGACAAAGCACGATTAGACTGTCCCGCACAGGCAGACACCTGCCTGGACAAATGGAGCCACTGGCCAGAAGCTGATGCCAGCCCAGCTCAAAGTGAAGCCAGGAGCAAGGAGAGGCAGCGCTCCAAGGGCTGCTGGACACACCCGGTCCCTGTCCCTGGAGATCCTGTCAGCCTTGCTGGCAAATGTTTCAGCTGTGGTGGAGGGAGAGCCCGTGGGCTGGCACTGCTGATCCCACACTCCTTGGTCTGGGAGCACCCAGAGGGCTTGCTCCAGAGGCCATTCACCCAAAAACCCCACCCACAGCAACCTGTTCTCAGCTGTGCTGCCCTGCTGCTCCCCCCTGGGAAACAAGTGACAAAGGCACACGCTCGCCTTTCCTGCTGGCCCCCATCGCCAGCCCTGCTCCCGCCCCAGCTGCAAGTGGAAAAGTACCCAGGGTGGCGGGCAGGCTGCATCCCCAAGTGGCAGCCAGCTCCCCCAGCACCGCATCCACACCACTTCCCAGGAGTTATTTTTTCATGCCTGGCTGCCAAGAGCACTGCTGAAAGGCCGGCTTGTTTGGCCATGTTTACCGTCTGGCTGCCGGCTCCAGCCCACAGCACTCCCTTCACACACCGCCCCAAGCAAACACCCGCATCGAGGTGGCAGGGCCCAGGCAAGGATGCAGTGCCGGGGCCACCTCCTGCCCCCATAGCCTGCAGCTTGCCCGACACTGCGTGGCAAGGAGCCCGCATCCCAGCGCGCCGTGCCACCTGGCAGCTGGCTCCTGTCCCCAGGTCCTCGTGCCACAGGGACCATCTCCTGCATCTGACAGAGGGAAGGGTGCATCTTCAGCATGAGCATTGGCACAGTGGGGAGCATCTCTTCTTGTCTCCAGCTCTTCCACTTGTGACGCTCTGCAGAGTGCAGCTCCCACTGAATTCCCATTTAATTCTTGCCAAACATGGAGCCAGCCCAGCCCCTTTGCCCTGGGTAATAACCATCCTGGCCAGGCTAAGCCAACACTGCTAGCCCTGGATGGCTGCAGAAGAAACAGGATTGCTTCCCTAAGCACCATAAAACATCTGGGGAAGACCCAGCAAACTCTGCCCACAGATGGAAGAAGCCTTTGAAGGGCCTTGTTACAGGGATGCCCCAGGGAACCCCTGATGCACTGAAGGAGCCTGGGCTCTGTGTCCATCCCTGCAGTGCAGGATGGGAATGAGCCCTGCAGAAACAACCATTTAAACATGCTCCTCTCACTGACATCCAGTACAGTGTTGTGGTTTCTGAGCAGAAGCCAGGCACCTAGTCAAGCTGCTTTACTAGAGCCAACCTTGGTTTGCTGTGAAACCAGCAAAGAAAGCACATCCCAGTGGCAGCAAACAATAGCCCAACGCCTTTCTTTCTGGATGCTGCAGCCTCAAAACTGAGTGGGCTCAAGGAGTCCCCGATGGAGCAGGGACCCACTCAGAGCCCAGGGCTCCAGCTGCAGCACTTTGCCTGTACCCCAAGGCCTCTCCAGCCCACCGGTGCCCATGGCCCATGGAGGATGCTTTCTGGGTCACTGGTGATGGCCGAGCTATGTGCAGGACAGCTGAGTGCCCAGGCAGGTGCAGGCTTGGGGGGCCATCACACACTGTTCCCAGAGCTGGGAAGATCCCAGAGCTGGTGGAGATGACGTGAGCCCAAGCTCAGATGTCCTGGCAAGAGCACAGCCCAGAAAAACACACCTCAGGGCTCTTGTAGCCACCTGGTCTCACTTACCTGGGTTGACCTGGGCTCTCACAGCCCGTGGGACGTGCAGCAGCAGCAGCAGCAGTGGCAGCAGGGCTAGTCTGGGGGTGGCCGTCATGGCAGCAGTCCTGCAGAGACAGAGCCAGGACTCATCAGACTGAGGCAGCTGAGCCGCATGGAAATGCCAGTCCTGCTTGGGGCAGCCCGCTGAGGATGGGAGAGGTTCCCCTGCACAAGACCCTGTGTCCCACCTCAGCCTCAGAGGAGGAGCAGAGCCCCAAGCCTTACATCTGTGATGGCATTCAAAGGGGTCACAGTGTGCCATCCCCTCCACCAGGGCTCTGCTCGGGGCTGGCGCCATCCGGCTCCACCAGCGGGCAGAAAGGCTCCAGCTGGGCCACCCGCCCTTGGAAAGCTTTGAAAGCAAGACATTGCACAACCCCATCATATAACAAAATAATAGCACGTTGCAACATGCGGTTTCCCTGCCTTCTGGCTCAGGAGAGATAATAGCAGATAATCGCCTGAGATTTATAGCATATTTATTGTGACAGTTCTCTACGGCAGAGCAGATCTAGAGGACATGAGTGCCACAGAAAGGAGTGACAGAGAGCATGGGAGCCAGCCTTCACCTGCTGCCTCCTGGGGAGCACAGGATGGGGCTGGAGGGAACCTGGAGGTCCTGGCAGTAGGGCTTGGGCTGCAGCAAGTGGAGAAAAAGAGCTGGTGCTGGCGGGGCTCCTTGGAGCAGGGTCCAGTCTGTGGCACAAGGGGATCCCCCCTGGCCCCAGCCCCAGGACATGTGGGTCCTCTGAGTCAGCGCTGCCACCACAGCCACTTCACAGGGCAGCAGCAATCGCCCAGGCTCTGGCTAATCCTTGGCTTCCAGGAACCCCCAGAGCCTGAGCAGCTCCTGCTGCACCCGCACAGCTCTAGGGAACCACCACGGGGCACGGCACCATGCTGGGGATGCTCCAGGGACACCCCTGCATGTCACGAGCCCTGCCCCAGGCTCTCTGGGCTCCCCCTCCCCTTGTTTGCCAAGGGGACATTATTCCTTCTGGGACAGCCAACCCTTCACACAAACACTGCATGCAGACTAGTCCTCCTCTTGTTAAAAACCACTATTTTAGTCTAGTTTACATGCACATTAACCTTTGTAGGAACAATTTACTAACCTGAGAGTTAAAGGAGCCATAGCTCCTGGCTAGGTGGGACCTGGCTGCACTTGAGTGCTGGGCTGAATCCCAGCCAAGTCCTGGTTGTGTACCTGCACCCTCTCCCACACAAGGGGACCTGCAGCCTTGTCCTCACCACCCAGAGAAAGCCCAAACCCACCGGAACCAGCTGCCACACAGCAGATGCCTCCATGCTTGCGAAGCCTAGCTGGGAGGTGATGGATATGGCCCTGCTCAGTGGCAAAACCAGGGCTTGGCACGGCAGAGGAGAGGCTGGCTTGCTGTGACCACACCAGCACCCAGAGGAAGGGCAAAGCCCCGGGAACTGCCACTTGCACCCTGCTAGAGGCCCTCTGCACCTAGCAGCATGCTATTGCATGCCCTGGGGGTCCCTGCTAAACATCACGAGCTCAGGGGGTGCAGGGGTACAAATAAGCACCTGGATTTAGAGTGATTTTTTCCTCTTTTTTTTTTTTTTTTTTTTTTTTTGAGAAAGCAGATATGTGGTTGCTTATTTCCCTATTCCCAGCTGGGAAAGTTTAGTTAGTTGCAGCTAACTCAGCTGTAACTGAGACTTTCAGATGCATGGCTGAAGCGCGCACACAAGGCTCCTGGGTTTGATAATGGCCAGTTCCCCCGACATTAAAATCTCAATTTCCTTCTGCATTCCAAAAAACATCCAGGGATATTTTTTCTCACTATTCTTTCAGGCTGAGTAAATGCCTTAAGCATCAGGATACCAGATGCCATAATCTCCCGCAGGGAATGCATTTACATTTAGCCTAATATAGGGAAATTATCCCCATGAAGCCGTTGTGAAGTGCTTGTCCCTCCTCGGAGGAGCAGGGCTGGGGGACAGTGGGGAGATGGTGACTCAGGCGCCGAGGCTAGGGGCTAAGGGACACGCGGTCAAACCGGCCAAGCAGTATTGGCAACCCAGCTGGAAATCATTTTTGTTCCACCAGTCCTGCAAAAGGGATGGATTTGCAACATTTTGTCTGAAAATGTTTGCTGAAAATTTTCAATCACTGGAAATTTTTAGTGCAGAGAGATTTGGAGCTCCTCCCTGGCGTCGCCTGGGCTTGGGAGCTTTCCTCAGCTGCTGCTTTTTTTTTTTTTTCCCTTTGTATTTTCGGCCCCTTCTTATTCTACAGAAATCACCAGGGAAAATTAGTGGGAAAAAAATTAAATCCACATTTATTTAGAGACAAACCCCACCCAAGCCGTGGTCCCTCTCACCCCCAGCCATGTGATGGCTGGTGAAGTCTCCAGCTCATTTCCCAGGTGGGTGCTACCATCCTTGCCAGCACCAGAGGAGCATTGTCCGTGAGGAGGGAGGCGAACAGCAGCAGCCTGCACCCCCTGCACCTGCCAGGTCCTGGATGCAGGTTTCCCAGGGCTGCTGGAGCTCCCGTTGCAGAGCACCCATTCTCACACAGGGCCAGGAGCTCCCCTCTTGCTGGAATGGCAGGCAGGTGGACCATGCTGAGGCCATGCTGGAGGAAACATCCCCAAGCAGTGAGAGGCTCCCTGTGACCCTGGACCATGACCCAAGGTGTGCGGAGTTTCAGTAAGGGGGTTCGGGACCCCCATCCCAGCTGGCACTACAGCCCCCAGCATGCTGTGCCACCGGCACAGCCCTGGCGGGAGCGCAGTACAGCATGCCGGGACCCGTAGTCCTCCTTCCCTCTAAAATGCCATTTTAGACCTTCTCTAGGCTGGATGCAGCCCCATTTTCTGCAGCAGCAAGCACCTCCCCAGCCACCAGCTGGCTGGCTCAGCCGGTGGCATTGCAGCCACACAGGGCACAAGTTGCAACTGGCATGTCCCTGTGGCTGCCAGCAGCACAGCCCATGGCCATGGGGCCTGGGGACATGGTCCTGTGGGTACTGCACCCAGCAAGTACCCGTCAGCTGAAAACTTGCAGCTCTCCTCCTCCACAACGCCATGCCACGGCGCACAGCATAACACCGCCACGGTGCAGGGCTGCACAGCATTGCTCTGCCACGGCGCAGGGCTGGGAAGCCATAAGCGGGTCCCGAGCTCCAGGATGGGGGGCAGGATGCTCAGGAGCACTAGACCGGTGGTGCTGTGTCCCCTCCCCAGGGTGACCTGGTGCCTGGCTGGGCAACCCTGGGGACAGTAGGGCCTCTTTGGCTGGCCAGCACCGCCACCAGTTCTGCCAACAGACACATAGGCTGAGGACAGGCAACAGACACTGGCTTGGCACGAGGCACAGGGGGAAACGCTGGCAGTGGGGGAAAAACTGGAGAGAAGGGGCCAAGTGTCACCTCCCCAAGGGGGGACACTGCCCTGCTGCTGCCTCAGCCCCTTCCCAGGCAGATCTGCACCCTGGTCCCTCTCCCCAGGCTCTGCCACAGAGCACAGCTGACCCCGCATCCCCCCAAAATCCCAAGCCTAGGGGAGGCAAATGCTTCCCCACGCACCCCAGAGCAACTCACCAGAGAGGGGAGGCGGCGGTGGGCGGGGGGGCTTCTTGCCCCTCGCCCGGGCTGGGGGAGCCAGGCGAGGAGCGAACTTCCTCGGGCTGATGCAAGATGCCTCTGGGAGCGCGTTTGCATTCTGCAGATTCCTGGGAACCGGCCAGAAATCCCACAATCCTACATCTTGCACATTTGGTTTCAATTAGGAAGCGGAGAGGGGGAGCCAGTCACCAATCCAGGCTGGCTTTTCGGCGGAGGTTATTTTCCTCGGCCCGAGGGAATGTGTGCAAAGCTATAATTTACAGCAAAACCCATTCATAGCGCGAGAGAAAAAATTTTAAAAAAATCCCTATGGCCAGAGAGGGAACTTAAAGCAATAGGCAGCATTTTGCTTCCTGACGTTTGCCCTCATGGCTGTGGGATGACATGTGTGTCCAGGATCCTCCTCCTGCACCATGGGGTGAAGGGGCCAGGTGGGACACCCCCAAAATGCAAGTGATGGAGGCAGTCTACAAGGCCTCATCGCTGGGCCAGAGGGTCCAACACAGGCTGCCCTGCTCTGGGCCCCTAGTGGGAAGGGTGCTGGGCCCTGGGCGGGCACACGCGGCCAGGACACCGGCTGGAGATCTGAGCTGACCTGCCCTGGCACGTGGCACGGAAGAAGATCTCTGGCTCCCCAGGCTGCATGCTGAGCTCGTGGCTTTACATCATTTCCAGGCACTAGCTTGGTACTGTGGCCACTGACTACGCAACGCAGCAGGGAGAAAATAATAATAATCGGCTCACGTTAATTTTTGTGCAATAGCTAAAAATGCAATTAAAAAAAAAACCCCAACAAACAGCATTATTTCAGACTAGTGTTTTGGCTGTATTTTATGACAGCAGCCACACTGTCGTGGGAGGGAAGCAGCACCCCTGGCAGCAGGCCAGCAGCTCCCAACAGGGCACCCCGCGCTGGAGAAGGCACCTGTCTCAGGGTTGCAGCTGTGCTCCTGAACCCCCAAAACCACCCTCCTCACCAGACTCCCAGCCCATCCGCTTTTCAGACAAACAAACTGAGTCCCAGGCAGGGAAAACCATTCACCACCTGGCAAGATGCCAGTGACATGCCACAGACCCTCAGTGCTGCCACCGACAAGGCAGGGGCTGTGGTGTCAGCCCAGCCGTGGGTGCAGCGAGAGGCAAGGCAGAGCACCACAGCCACCTCTGGGCAGACAGGGAGCAGGTTAGCATGGTGTCTGCTGTAGAGCTCTGCCCTATGCCCCAGCATCCTGCCCCAGAGCAGCTGGCAGGGGGAAGCCCAAGCACAGGCTGCCCTACGTGCACGCTGGCACAAGCGCCAGCCAGCTCCGCTCCACCCTGCTTGCCTCCTGCTACCTGGAATTGGCGCTCAAATGACTTGGCGGCAGCCAGCACCACGTCGCTCTATCCCAGGACCTAATGCAAAGGTGTTGGTGTGCAAACAGAGCCAAAAACCCAAAGCAAACACCTCTCTTCCACCCCTCCCTGTGCCCCAGAAGCCAGCTGGAGCAGTGATCCCCTGGGCTCATCGTGCAGCCCCTCACTCCTTCTTGGCCCTGCTCCCAGGGCCATGTGCATCCCCCTGATGTGGGCCACACTATGCTCCAGCTGCTGCCCACCCCATGTCAACAAGGAGCAGCTTTGGGGGCACCCACCTGCCTCCTGGGGAGCAGAGACATCCCTTCCCCACAGTGGCTGCTCCCAGGGCCTGGCAGGGCCAGCGAGCAGGGGGAGGTGGTGGTGCAGACCACCCGCAGCACTCCGCACCGGCTCCTCTCATCCGCTCTGGCCCCCATCCCAGGCTATCTCCCCTGGGACCGCAGCCGCCAGCCTGCCTTGGCCACACACAGCCTGGCTGGCCCACAGCGAGCCACCAGCAGCCACAGCACCGGCCGGGACCCCTGCACAGCCCCAGTTTCCCAGGCACACTGCATGGGGAGCGAGTGCTTGGCCAAGACTAGGGTGCTCAACAGCCACCTTGGCACTCCTGGGACTTAGTGATTTTCCCCCAGGGGAGCGGTTTGGGCCCCATTCCCAGCCCTGGAAGGGAAAATCCCTTCTCCAATCAGCCATGGGTGGCTGCAACACCCCACCCCAGGGGCAGCAGCAGGACTTGGGAGCAGCAGAGGGGTTGGCTGAACATCCCCCCTCCTGAAAAGGGGAGCAGGCAGATGAGCTGCTCTGCCCAAGGACACGAGGACACCACGCTTTGGGGCAGTGGGCTCTGGTGGGAGCCAAAGAGCCCTCCCTGGAAAAGCAGAGGGCACGTGATGCTGCTGGAGGGCACCATGCCAGGCTGGTTTCACCCCAAGTGCTGTGGTGGTATTGCACACCCACCCATTCCTACCTGCTCAAGGCTTGCCACCGCTTCCAGAAATTCAAGAGGAAAGCACAGACCTCTGCTTCCTCCGGAAATGCTGCAAACGAGCGCCACGGGCCAGAGGACCTGCCTGTGCCCCCCTGGGCAGCAGCTGCTGCTGAGCTGCGCAGTGGAGCACTCCATATGACTTCTGCTCTGACTAGAACCTCTGCAGAAAGCCACTGTCACTAAAACATCAGATGACAGACAGGAGGGACTCAAGAGTTTAATCGGGTGCTTCCAGTTGTGCAACATACAAAGGATGTTCAAAAGGGAGGACATGGGCAATGACAGGGAACCTATTAAAAAAAATATTCATGTAGATTTGAGAAAAATAAAAATTCGAGATTAACCCCAGCCCAGTACCATAAAAATCTTCTGCATGTACAATGACTATTACTATATACATGTTTAAAAATAAATGCCCACAGCCTGGAGTGCGAAGGGCAGCACCATTGCTGTGCTTCATGGCAGGGGAATCTATAAAGTGTTTGGTTTTTAAATTAAAATATAAATAGAAGCGTACAACATGCCAAGAACCGAGCAGGTTACATCCTCCTCTGCCCAGGGCCAGAGTGAGCAGGATCAGCCCCTACCAGTTACAGCTATAAACCTTCATGTGTCCAAATTTCCAGCCCACCAGGCAGGATGGGCAGCCCAGCTTGGGCACTGTGCTGCCACTACATCCCATTCTTCACCAGTTCATGGATCCCATCCTCATCGATAATCAAAGGCGTGTGAAACTCTCGGTCCTTCACGTACTTTTCCAGACCCTAAGGGAGGATGAGGTGGTTTGTTAGGAATGCACATGTCATCTGCTCTGCTGAGCTGCTCACAGGTGGCTCTGGTCCCCTCCCGGGCAAGCAGCTTGGGGGACAATGCCTTGAAAAGCTCCACAGTGAATTCAAGTCATGCTTTTGTGGCTTACCACTCCTCAGCCAGGGCTCACACTGCCCCGCCAGCCTCCCCACCTGCCTAGTTAACCTGCAAGGGGGCCCGAGCTCAGGAGACCCAGTACTTACTTCTCCTCCGTAGGAGACAAGAGGAGAAATTTCACACTGGATTGGCAGGTCATTTGCATCCTTCAAGCTGCAGAGAAAAGCAAAAAGTCAGGAGGGCTAGCCACATCCCACCAGGGAATGGGGATGGGGCCGAGATCTCACCGATGCCAGCATGGGGGTCAGCAGCTGTCTGGGGCACCAGTGGCTGCTGGCCCACACAGACCTCGCCAGCACAGAGCTGCCCTGGGTTAGTAAAGCCTTGCGTGCTCTCCACAAGAGGTGCAAGCTAAAGCTTAGATACCAGCAACAGCTGATAAAAGAAGAGAGCTTTAGATGCGGGTTTAATGAGGATCTACTTGCCTTTCTATGTATGCAACTAGAGCAGCATCTACAGCCCCAGCCTGGACCACAGTCCCAATATAGCTGATGCTGCATGCAAGCTCATCATCCCTTGTTCCTCTTCCTCCTGCATCCTTGGGGTGATGAGAGATGCTCTCACAGCACCTTCCTGTTTGGCTGGTCCCAACAGGTCTTTTTTTAAACATGATCCTAGTTTAAAGCGCAACCTAAGGACACAGGGTAAGCCTGTCTACTTGCTCAGAAATTCTCCCTGCGGCACTGCCTGTTCCGCATGCCTTTACCTCTTAGATCAACTGTGCCAGCTCCTGTTCTCCACGCGAGCCTGAGCCAGCGAGGACAATGGCAGACCCACACCAGCACTGCCCGCTGCAGCCTGGCCCCAAGAACAACCACAGCAGTGCTGCTGGGCAGGGACCCGCACAGGGCCCCTGACCCCACTCCTGCTGCCACCAGCCTTTGTAGGATCCCCCAGATGCTCCCTGGATCCTGCTGTTAAGTCTGGCCAGGGGGTGCAGCCTCGAGGAGGAACCCTGGCAGCACCCCAGGGCACCCTTTCACACCTGCTCGCCACTACAGCCTGTGGGCATCGCAGCACCTCACCTGTGACAACGCTCCCTTCGCCCAGGTTGAAGCTCGTCCCTGCTGCCATGCACTTGCTCAGCCCCCTCCTGCCCCAGCTGTGAGTAAATAAAACTCACCCATCCTAACCCAGCCCATGCTCTTGTGTTTGCCTTAGTCAGATTCATTGCAAGATAAGCGTTTAAAAAACATTTTTAAAGTGCCATTAACTGGCAATGGAGGATAAAGGGCATCCTTTATCCTACATTACAAATAGTGTGATGGCCTAGTTATAAGCCTAAAAGCACTTGGTGTCTTGAATTACAAAGAGAGACCCCAGGTGTATCCCACCAGGAACTACCAGAAAATACAGCTTCTCCTGAAGCGAGGGAAAGGTAACAAGCTTGCTTAGCCTGGAAGTCATTTACACTCACTAACGCTAAGTCCCAGACACCCAGATGCGCCTATAGAATAACACGCTGCTAATACAGAAATGGCTTTAACACTTCTGTCCACTTTCCTGTTTACTTCTGTAAATTTTCAAGTGCTGAGCCAGGGGCTTTTCCTGGTGTCACGATTTGGATCTTCAGTACTCAAGAGATGAAGTCACACAAAGCACAGCTGGCCGCCTACGCTGAGATTTGCATGTGCTACATCAAAGCCTGCTTGACGTTTAACGTTTTTAATCCCATTCCAATCTGCCCAGATGCCTGGCGGACACTGGGAGATGGCAGCTGTCTCCAGCTACGGGACTCGCTGGGATCAGTTCAGGCTGCCCCACGCTGTGGCGTGACGAACAGGGAAGTGTCATCGAAGGGACATGCCAGCGTGTTTCCCAACAGCAA